TGTGAAGTTTTAAGTGTTTCATCAGATGAGTTACAACTTCAGAGGATTAATGACGTCCAAAGGCAATCAAGAAGAATAACTCACTTGTTGCAGGTGAAGTTGGCACCTGTGCATTTTCCTTTCCACTTGGCTGGCGGAGCAGTAAAACCATCATCGTTAAAGCTTTCAGATTCTGGCCAGATTCCTTTAAAACAAACAATAGAGAGGTACAATTCACATCATCTTCTTTATTAATAGTTCAAAAAAGCAGAAGGAATTAATCTGCATTTGCCTGTATCTAGAAGCCCAACAATGACGTTTCCTTCTTTGGGTGGACCAACAGTGTCTTTACTAATACCCATGAAGTCCCATGACCTTGTGGTGTGAAGTTTTAGTATGTGGTTTGGAATCACAGAGACTACACCTTCCATGTCTGCAACGTATTCAATTTTTTTTAAGCATTAAGATTGTATCGATTAGTAAACAATAAGACCCAATTTCTCTTTTTTGTCAATAGTTAACAATCTCACCCGAGAAACTCTCAACTTCTTCATCTGTTAAGTTTGCTGCAAATCCATTGAAGCTCCTCCCGTAACTATAGATTAATGAGTCCTTGACTGATGATTTACTGTTCGAGATCCAGCAGTACCACCCAACAATAAAATAATTATGAACATAAGACATTTGAATAATTCGAAAATGACTTTCTGGATGTAAGAATTTCAACTGCCCTTAACTTTTAACTTAGATATGATATTATTTACACATAGTTAATTAGCTAGAAACGCAATGAAGTTTCAATTATCAAGGAAAGTCATGAATACAGCAGCAGTAGGATTGTTAGTGTATAGTAACCTCCCAAGAACAGTTTTAAGCATGGAATGGTGGGTGGATGCAACAGAGAAATCTCCCTTAGGAAGCTCTCCCATGTACACAATGTGAACCTGCAAATTTTAAATTATTACAAACTCTAGTAAAACCCATCGAAGTAAAATAGATAAGTAAAAATGTAAAAAGGGAAGAAGAATATTTTCATTACTTTCCTCTGCTGGGCATGGCAAGTAGTTAGCAGAAATGCTGCAAGTAACAATGAGTAGAGAAATGAATGCAGCTCTGGCATGGCTATCAATTTCTGTGTTTAGCACAGATCATGTTTCTTAAGTTGATTAGAGGTATTTATATGTGGCAAATTGATATTTCTTATGTGTTTTACCATGCACTAACTAAGCCGTCCCTGTTTGCTTCTGCAGGATTTTGTGATGGACGCCTACATGATTTCTTTCTAAAGAAAAAAGAATTTGATTGAAGGAATCTTAATGGTACAAGTAGTAAGAAGTCAAGATATCAATGCTTCATGCTCTTGTT